GTCCCGTACAGTTCGGTTTCAGAGGAATTTTCTCCCACGGACCCTCCGATTGTGGAATGAGCTCCCTGCCGTGGTTTTCCCAGTGGGCTACAACATGAGGTTCTTCAAGAGGGCGGTGAATAGGTTTTTTAAGGGTCGGCAAGACGCATGTAATGCCCCAAGTGTTGCAGGCGTACATAGGCCACGGTAACCGCTTACCATCAGGTGGGCCGTGTGCTTTTTTGCCACCGTCGTGGTATAAAAAAAAAAAAAAAATCTTTCCCTAACCCCTTCAAACAGAGAAAAGAGAAGAGAAGCCGCGAACAAAAGCTAGTTAAAGAATATTGGTATCGCAGCGTAATATACCAATATAGTAAAACGTCACCGTTTATGTAATTTCTATTTTAAGATGTAATGTACAATAGAATCATTCAAGTGTTGAAGATTGAAAAAGTCAATGGCACGGCCAGTGACATCAGTCGGAGTATAGTTTCCGTGCGAAATAAATAGGACCTTGTAATAAAGGAAATAAGAGTAAAAACGTGTTTGGGCGATTCAGTCCTTATAATATTCAAAAGTATTCGTCACTACATTTACTCCCTTTTTATACTTTTGTCAAGTATGAGCCGAGCAAGTGCGACTGCCGGCAAAGTACTAATGAGTTTAAAAAAAAATCTTAGTAGTAGCACGGAGTCTGGAATTATGTCCGGTATATGAGCAACGGCTCACCCCCTATTACACGGGACTCATAATATAATTAGTGAAAACTGGGTGTTGCATTGTACAGTGACATTAAGTGCCGTAATGTGCACCTCTGCCTAACCCTTCGGGGATAAAAGGCGCAATGTTATGACATATTCGGTTTTTCAAAAATGCTTAATAACAGCACAAACTCTGAGATTGTGCCGTGTATGAAAAGAAAAGCGTGCAATAAGGTCAAATTATAGTTATGTAATTGAGAGAGTACCATATTTGTATTGTAACTTTCGTGAGACATACTAAATAAATTATCATGTTTTCGGCTTACTCTCGTAATAATTTAACGAGGAACTCGACTAGTTTCAAGCGCGCTAACAGTGTCACCGACACCTCGAGTGGAGGACAGTGCGCGGGAGTCACGGCAGAGGGCGCGCCCGCACACTCCGGTAGCCAGTAGCAGCGACAGTCGCCGCGGCGCGGGTCGCGGAATGCTGCTCATGAATATGAGCCTCTAGCATGGCTTGAAACTAGTCGAGTTACTCGTCAAATTATTACGTGAGTAAGCCGAAAACATAATAATTTATTTAGAGGGAGTACTGTTTTTAAATCCTACCACAATAAAAATGACAAATTCACAAAATGACAACTCAACATTTTCCCAAACTCACCGTCTAGTATCACTCTTAGTAGCCAGTAACAAGTCCAGCCACGTCCACGTCACATTATGGTACTCCAGGGTAGGAAGTACCAGTGGTAGGTCCCTTACATCCTCGAGATTCTTCTCCTTGCTTCCCTTGTAGGAAACTCTCACTGGTACCTCTGGGATCTTTATGTAGATGAACAGCTTGTTCTTTTCTGCTCGCTCCTGTGTATTAACAATTGTTATTGAGATCATGTTGTAATCTGAATAAAATACGTAAGTAATGAAGGCAAACTTTTCAAAAGTGAAAAACTTGCAAAAAAGTTATTTCTAAATACAAAATCAAATAAAAATATAGGGTAATAAACCATTAAACGGAAAACAGTCGCTATATTTAAAAAAATTAAGTCAAAAGTTAAGTTAGCAAAAAAAAATTTAGTATGAATCCCAAAAAAAACGTTTTTATAATAACTATCGTGAGATATACTAAACTAACTAAAACATCGCGGATTACTCACGTGAATATACTGAGAAAACCTCTACTAGTTTCGAGCCACAGAGGAGCTCTTCCTCATGAGCAGCGTGCGCGGTCGCAGCGATACAGTCTGTAGGCTGCGCGACACATTCACGTGAGTAGCTCACGATTTTTAGTGAATTTAGAATTCAACATGTTTAAGTGCAACATTCAAAAAGTCTTTTTCGGACCAGCAAACTATTCAATTACAAATCATTATCCCCTGTACATTGATTGTACTAACAAGACTTAAAACTACACCAGCGCCACCCACAGCGAACTAAAACAACAAAATCTAAACCACAAACCTTCATCTTCTCAACATCATCTTTGTCCTTCTTATCTCTCTTCACATAGAAGTTAGAATTGGAATCTTTGCTCTTCTTCTTGATCTTCTTAGAGCCGGTAGACACGAGACTGGATGAAGAGGCTCCGGCTTTGAGAGTCCCTTCTGTTTCCTCCTCACCATCCTCTATGGAGTCAGGGTCTCGCTCAGGAAAGCAGAACTTAAGCATCGTGTTGAAGAACTTCTTTGTTAGACCTGGTGGAAAGGATTGTGTTAATTGCGAAATTACCTTTAATGAATATTTTTACTAATAATTATCAAAAACGCACGACAGTATCAAAATTAAACAGACATTGCACCTCTATCGGAAATAATGTAATATTAAGTCAAAGATATATAAATTATGGACATAAGTCATAGAAATTAACATTACCATAAACGATGAAAGTAAACCTTGTATTTTAATAACAAAGTCTATTTTCATTCAAGTGCATCTGCTTTATTTATATAGCCGCCATATTTGCTCAGGTGATACAAATGGAGCGACTCCTGCGCAACATGTTATACACGTATTAATGGAATACCGAATTAGTTAAGGTTTAATAATAGAAATACTTTGTTTTGATACCATTCGAACCGGTGTAATATTTGGATAACAGTGTTAAAATATTTATTAATATGTATTCGAAACCTTCACAACATCAGCCCTGTTATTTCTGCGTCGATAGTTCGGCCTCGGTATCGGTTTCGTCCTTTATTTTGAACTCGGCCTTAGCCTCTATTTCGGCTTCAGTCTCGGTTTAAGCCTCGGCGTCGGCCTAGGCCTCAGTCTCGGTTTAAGCCTCGGCTTCGGCCTAGGCCGCAGTCTCGGTCTGAGCCTCGGTGTCGACCTGGGCCTCGGTCTTTTTTTAAAGGGGGAAAATCATCGAATGACTGCTCCCGCCTGGGTGAGGCGGGAGGGAGTGTCAGACTCTTACTGACTAAAAACCACCCCGTTCCTTCTTCTGCACGTCCCTGGTAACCCGTTAGGTTCTCCGTGACTGGACCTCGGTCTAAGATCCTATCTCAATCTTGAACCCAATCTCGATTTTAACATCTGTTTCGTCCTAGGTTTCAGTCTCAGGCTCGGTGTCAGACTTTGTCTCTGTCTCTGTATCACTCTATCTCCGTCTTGGACTCAAGAATCTCAATTGTAATAACTCTGCAACTTCACAAAAACTCACCAATCTTAATAGGAACGATGTTGACTTCAAAATGTTCTTTGACAGCAATGCCCCCGACTGGCGGCCGGTCCCTGCAGAACACACGCAGCGCCGCGCGGCGAGCTAGTGGCGCACGACCGGACGGCTCTTGCGGGACTAGTACCTAGGATAAATAATAATACTTATATTTCATGTGAAAAGATTACAGTTTTATTTAAACTTTATTGTTAAATATGTGACAATCTGTTATCAATAGTCTATTTTTATGGAATAGGAGGCCAACGAGCAGTCGGATCACCTGATGGTGAGTGATCAGCGTCGCCCATGGACACCTGGAACACCAGAGGAGTCACAGGTGCGTTGCTGGCCTTTTAAAAAGGAATACGCTCTCTTCGTGAAGGTTTGAAGGCGTTATGTAAAATACTTTATCTTTTAATGACGAAAATGGTCCTTAATCAAGCACTTTTGAAATGTCAAAAACGTATTTAGTTCATCCGTTTGTTTGTCAGTGAAGCTAGGCGCTCGTTCTAAAGTGTAGTTTCGAATGAACAGAAGAACGAGCAAGAAACTCCATTGTTACTCTTTTATAAAAAATGTTATTACATTCTCATTGATATCAGAGTAACCACATTCATCTGAATTCGTAATAATTTGAAAGCTATGCATGCATACTTTATAACAATAATTTCGTAAATAAACGATGATTCACTTATCATTTAACTCGTCGAGTACCGGTTTTGTAGACACAATTATAGAACAATAGGTTGCGGTCACCGGTGACCGCTTGGTGTTTGACAGTTTAATAAT